AGTTCATTCGCGTTATGTGTTTGTCTGTATATATATATATATATATATACTTTTTTTTTTTTTCTAACAAAGTGCTGTTTGATTTAACCACACCAGGCTGTACGTTAACTCAAGGCTAAAATGTTCGTGTGGCCAAGATCGTTATTAATGCATTACTAAACATTCTTCAGGTGGGAGGCCCGGCATGGCCAGGTGGTTAGGGCACTCGACTCGCAATCTGAGGGTCGCGGGTTCGAATGCCCCTCACACCAAACATGCTCGCCCTCTCAGCCGTGGGGGCGTTATAATGTGACGGTCAATCCCACTATTCGTTGGTAAAAGAGTAGCCCAAGAGTTGGCGGTGGGTGGTGATGACTAGCTGCCGTCCCTCTAGTCTTACACTACTAAATTAGGGACGGCTAGCGCGGAGAGCCCTCGTATAGCTTTGAGCGAAATTCAAAACAAACAATTTTCAGGTTGGTTTTGTTATTTTTAAGATACAAACCTTAAGTCATGTATATTATAAGTAGAGAATATAAGCCATCAATTTACGAACAATTTGGATTCTTACTTATAATTTTCTCAGCTAGTGGAGTGTGTCTGATACGCTCAATGATGAGTTCACCGATTCGCATGTCTTGTTGACAAGAAAATTGTACTCTTAAAAGTGACGAGCAAAGTAAATTTATTTTTATTTTATTTTCTTTGTGCATCGCTAACGAAGAGGGAAAAACGAATGAAATAGAATAAATATGTAAGTTTTTTTCCCCCCTGTGGTTTTTGCATGTTATGGCTCTAAGAAGTAGGCGGAATAAAAATGGCCTTGCAGCGAGCGCCGAAAGTGGTGGCTTTCGTTTTGCTTGGTCATTTGGTGCCCATTTGAAGTCGTAACTTGTGGGCAATGTACTAAAAATCACCGTCGGCGTTACGAATTTAATCATGCAAAGAGATAAGTTGAACTGTGGGCAATCACTGTGGTACCATCACGTTCACGTGTGAATGGGTGACGATGTTGCTGTAAAATCTTACCTAGCGTGTACTTCAAACATAACTTGACTACAGCTTCGTGGAGAAAAAAAAAAGAAAAAGAAATGCGGAAGGTGTAGATGTGTGATTCACGTAAAGTTCGAAAGACCACGAGATTATCCTGTTTGGTAGAGCCGGTATATTGTTAATATTAAACCAACTTGCTCAATTATATAAAATGGCGTTTCCTTGAAAAACGAGTGAAACAGTTATGTGATAAGTTCCTGTATGTTCGTTCATCTGTCTGTAGACCCGAAAATATAACCTCTTGGAATCATTACATCTAATAAGAACTCTTAGTCTTGGTGATTAAAACATTTTTTTCATGGCTATCGATACTGTTTGGGGGTACGCATTCAGATGTTTCTGCATAATCAGCTAAGTTTGTCTTCATCACATTTAGTTTACTTTGAATAATTTAGAGTCGGTTCGTTTCATAAACTGCCATAAACTCCTTTTAACTACTTTTTTTCTTTACTATGGGTTTTATTCCACATTTTTGTGAGTTTCTTTGTTTCAACCTGTAAAGCTTGTCATACAATAAACGCTCGTAACTGTTTCATACTATGTACGCTATTATAAATACCATTACTTTAACTTATTGTTTACTTTGCGTGCAGTGTTATTAAATAAAGTTACCTTTACGCGAGTTTGTTTGTCTGAGTGCGTAAATTTTTTCCAAATAGAACAGAATTAACATTAACTAACAAACTAACACATAAGCCTGCAAGAAAGCCTAGCTTAAATGGCGTGCGTAAAGATAATAGAATAAACCGAATTGAAGCGAAAGTAATGAAAACTACTACAAACGTTTTGCAGGCCGCGGCTAGCATATAATAATTAGCCAAGTTGTTTTACTTTGTAAATTGGTGAACTGGATATTGAAAAAATTGTCTGGGTGTAGGTCTGATTTAGTAATATTCTAGATACCCTTAGTTTGTTTGTTTGTTTTTGAATTTCGCGCAAAGCTACACGAGGGCTATCTGCGCTAGCCATCCCTAATTTAGCAGTGTAAGACTAGAGGGAAGGCAGCTAGTCATCACCACCCACCGCCAACTCTTGGGCTACTCTTTTACCAACGAATAGCGGAATTGATCGTCACGTTATAACGCCCTCACGGCTGAAAGGGCGAGCATGTTTGGTGGGACGGGGATTCGAACCCGCGACCCTCAGATTGCGAGTCGAGCGCCTTATCCACCTGGCCATGCCGGGCCAGATCTTAGAGATTAAATTATTGTTGATCAAGATCACTGAAATATCTAAATGGTCAAGATGTTTCAGTAACGGACAATTAAGGGGCTATAAGATAAAAACTAGTAACTCAACCCCTCTCAACTCTTGGAAACAAATTATTTACGTTTTCTCTAACATGCACAGTATATTTGTTTAATGATTATTTAGCTATAGTTTTATTCATTTTTTTTCTGCACTGTTTTACTACATTTGGTTATAGACTCACCTGTATGAACAAAAATCACCATTCCTCTGTTTATTTGGGCTTGAGTGAACTTAACGATAGGAGTTTTGGCACTTTCTTTCAAGGAAATGTATCCATTTCTTGGTACAGAAATCTCAAAAGTTAAAACTTCTTGTTCAGAGTCATCGTCAGCTGCCGCTAGATGACGACTAGTGATAGAGGCCGAAGATCCTTCCCACACCTCTAATCCAGTGTTGTTAACTAGGTAAGGAACTTCATCGTTGATAGGGGTAACACGCACGTGTATAGTGCTCGGTGCACTTTCCTTGCTCAAGTCTGCAGGTCTTCCAACCACAGTGAACCAATCTCGAGTTGTCTCTGAATCGTCATGTCTGTAATGAATCAAGCCATTCTTCAACTGTACAAGAGAAAACTCCATGACCATATTTCCAGGATCTTTAACGTTTATTATATGTCCATTTCGAGGCGGTTCTATGATAAGAAAGTCCGAAATCCAATGGGCGAAATAAGGATTGGCCACATCTAGCACGTATTCAGTCAAAGCTACAAGTTTGCCTTCTGCCACTGTTATATTTCCTGTTTTTAACAAAATAATTTTAGAAATTATATTGATCATAAACGTTAAATTCTGTAACGAGGTAACCCCATTTGTAACATCAAAACAAAAACTGTCATTTGTAACATTATTCTTTGTTTGTACGTACATTAATAAACCTTCATTGATGTCTGCTTGGGTAAAAGTAAGACCAGACATGTGATTTTCTTTCTTAAGCGATTTGTCTGAATCGTTTAGTTTTAGTTGACCATGAAAGGGACCTGATCTTATGGTGTATTCAATATTCATTGGGTTAACATTAGTATGAGCAATATTCAAAAAAGCAGGGCCAATTTTCCTTCTTTTGTTCTCGTTAACGTGTAGTGTTTTGTTGCTTACAATTTTCAGAGGATCCCAATAGCTATCTGGGTATATACTTATCGAAAAGTTTCCTTCAATATTTAACTTATCCACAAAAGCCACAAAACCAAAAACGTCTGAGAAACTAAAACTATTGTCGTGCTCATATTCCACATTGCCGTTTTCTATATCTATGCTAGTAAATTGGTTCTCTTTTTTACCATTTACTAAGATGTGTCCATGCTTAGGAGTAGAGGCAATCTTGAACCTGACATCATCACCATTGAAATCACCGTTCGTTTTCACGCTTAGATTTTGGGAGGTGATTACCACGTTCTTTCCTCTTCTCACTATCGAACCTGTGTTTCTAGTAAGTTCGATAAAGGGTTCTGAGACTTCTATTTCCAATACGCCTGTTACAAAAAACTGACCATCTGTAATCCAAAGGATAGTCTTCCCATAAAGTTCACCACTGTGTCGGAAAATAATCTTTCCCTCATTTAAATCTTCCTGTGTGAACTGAAATACCGGAACACTGGGATTTTTAATGTGGTAAAGCGCACCATTTGGTATAGCCCGTCGTGTATATTGCATCTGTGCTGGAGAAGAGTCGATATCTTTGTCTTTATACTGAAGATATTTCCCTGTTAGTTTCTTTTCTCCATTTGTTTGCACCAAGAAGGGCTTTTCAACCGTTCGGACTGGAGGGTTGTCGTTTTTCATAATCACCTCAATATGCAAAGTTCCATACAACACAGCATCATTGTTGGAATTCTGAGAATAAGCCATAAATTGGAAACTATCTTCATCATGTTCTGAATCATCATGAACATACAGAAGGTTTTCTTCTTGTAAATCTACACTAGTGAAAGAACTTGGTGAATCTTTCATGTGATCTTCAAGAAGTAGCTTTAGTACACCATACTGAGGTTTCGCTGTTACATTATAGATCATACTAGGTAAATGTGGACTGTAAATATGTAGATTTTTCTTCCCAATTTTTACTTTCCCTCCTTCAACTACAGTCAAACTTTTTATTTCAACAATAGCACTTGTTTCAACTGTACGATACTGTATTGAAAACTTTTTAGGACCAGTTTTTGTGCCAAAACTATTTACTTCAAAGGTAAAACTATCATTTAGAGATGAGTAAGATTCTCGAATTAGTTTGTAGAAAACGTATTTACTTTCTATATCAGCCTGGGTGAAGATGGCTCCTTCTTGTAGTTTTTTGTTGTGTCGAAATTTATGTTTTTTACCAGGAATAAGATATAAAACTCCATATTTGGGAATAGATCTTATAGTAAAAATTATGTTTCGATAATCTGCGATAGCAGGTATTGATTGATATTTCAGGTGTTCCATAGTTAGTGGTGCTTCCATTTCATCATTCAAGAACAGTATTTCGTTTTTTATTTCTTTTAAAGAAACATTTATGAAATTAATATAAAAACTGTAAGGCTCTTGGATCTTAATTCCTTCGCATGTTACTGTGTATCTAAATTCATCTTGAGAAGGTTTTCCTGAGATATGGATATATCTAATTTTAGATTTGTTAATCTGCCGTTGATTGAAATGGTTCACATTTTTCCAAAGACCATCACTTCTTCTTTTTTGGATGTTGCCAAACTGAGGTAAGTTAGTGATATTATATCTAATGCTTAGATCTTCATTAGGTGAATTATTCGTAAAAGTAAGGTTATCTGTTGTTATGAGGACATGCCCTTTGTAAGGTAACTCAATACCAGTGTTTTTAACCAGTGAAAGAATTAATTCAAAGGCTTCAATCTTTAAAACAGCAGTTTGTCCGTCTTCAATTCCATCAGATATTTGAAGTGCAATTCGAGAACTTGCGGTTCCACGATGAACGTAGTTAATAAGCTTCTGATTTACTAGTTCCTGTGTGAATGATTTCAGCTGTTCACCAGAAAAGTTAGCATTTTCAAAGAAACCCCCAGTCTCTGAACCTAAACTCACTACAGTGTAGACTAACTCGGAATCTTTGCTGTCTGGGTCGTTGGCTTGAAGAATATCACGAGTTATCGTCTTCTTTGTGTGTTTCGGGAGTCTTAATATTTGATCTGAGGATAGTTTTAATTTTGGGGGATCATTTACTGGGGTTATTATAATGTGGAAGAGAAATTGCTGTCGCTTTTCAAGAAACGGAGGCAAACGAAAGTTTTGAGCTCTAAATTCTAAATTGAAAAGGATTTGATCATTGTAATGTTCAGTGTCGTCGTGTGTATAACGTATGTTATTGGAAATGAGATCAGATAACGTAAAAATGTTATCCGATGATCCTTTCCAAATCTCAACTTCTACAAATCCATGCTTGGGCGGATTAACGATATGGAAAATAACATATGATTCAGTTATTCCATATCTGTGGAAATCTACTGTAATTTTGATGTTTTCAGAAGTTATCACACTACTTCCTCCTTCTGCGATATTCAAGGGACGTACCGCCAAAATTTCAACATCAATAGGTAAAGACTGGGCATAGAGCTTGTATGCTGCAGTGAAACTTTCATTTATACAAAATAATTTATCACAAACACAGCGGAAGTTTTCCAAACCATCCTGTAAACAATGAGCTCCAGAAATACATGGACTTTGAAGACATGGGTATTCCCAAACACAACCTGGTTTGATACCCAAGCTAAACTGAACTTCTTGGAGGCCGACCTGTTGATCGTTTAGTTTAATATTTTGCAGACATCCACCTAAAGAACTGCTAGTACTTCCTAGAACCAGAGATTTTATACCCTGCTGCAGAGCTCTGGACTGTTTATTCTTTTCTATTCCACCAATATACAAGAAACCGTCAAGGTCAAAAAATCGATTTTGCCCTACACTTGGTCTGAGGGACTCTCGTTTGCCATCGACTTCAATTTCTAGGAACATAGAGCTAAAGTCCACTTCCACGTAGTGCCATTCACCGTCACTGATCATAACGTCCGACTGAATTTCAATCACTCCATTACCTTCATTAACAGATAAAATTACAAAGCCATCGACAATCTCTACTGCAACAAAATCTGTTTCAGAATGATCTCCAGCATTGTAGAGTAGTACTGCTAGTTGTGAATGAGTTTTGATTTCAAAGGTCAAATTACCTCCATTTCTAGCCTTTAATGTGGGCAGAGCTATAAAGGCACCATCTTCAATGAAGCTTATTGGTTCAAGTGACGATGCCTCAAATTCCTCTCTACAGTCCCAAGTAACTCCAAAAACGTGTTTCTCTAGTGATTCCGCTGCAAGTCGTAAAACATCGTGCTCATTGAATATTACACTTTCTAAACATCCTCGGAAGCTTTGGATATTTCTGAAAAGTTCTTTACTGTCGCTTCCTAATTGGCCCAGAAAAATACCAGATTTGATATTCAACTCAAAAAAGCGACCTGAAATATGGAGGAAAGTTTTGTGAATCTCGTCTATTACAAGGGTTACTTCCCCATCAACTCTGTGTATTTTTGCCTCATGCCATAAAAGATCGTCAAACTTGAGTCCCGGCAAGGATGTTAGAACTTCTTCTCCAGATCCAAGATTAATCCGCACCTTCATTAACAAAAAGAGGCTGATTAAATAATATCCATAGATCTTTAAGTATGATAAAATTTTAGTTAACATTTTAAAACTATTCAACGTTTATAAATCATGAAAAGAGCTTAACTTGTTTATAAAATATTGTGTATAACAAAGACAATTTTAGTTTAATTTATAAAACACTAAAATGTAGTTCATGTCAATTATTAGATCGTCAAGAAATTAATGTCGCGTTTTGGAACACTTTCATTAACCACGCCCCCCAAAAAACGTACATCAGGTATATTAGTTAAACGAACCGCCTAAACGTCACGTTAATGTAGCCTATATAATGTGTAAAGTTTAGTATACTGTAATAGTGATGGCATACGACGAGATACACATTCGGCATGTAATGCTGTTAGAATACACAAAGTAGCCACAAAGAATATCAAAGAAGTTTATGGAAATTTTTTGAACGTTCGTAAGTGTCAACGATGGTTCAGCAAATTTCGTTCAGGTGACTTTAGCCTTAAAAACTGTGATGGCAGGGACCGACTTGTTGGAATTGATAGTGATCCTCTGAAGACGCTTGTTGAGTCTAACCCAAGACAACACACTCGGGAAATGGCCTTCACATTGCATGTTTCTCATGAAACAATACGTAAACATCTAAGAAATATGGGAAAACTCCACAAAAAAAGATGTTTGGGTGCTTCACAAACTCCCCGAAGATCATCGTTTCCAACTGTGAACGTTGCTTCGTAACTTTGGGTGCGTAATGCGCGTGAACCATTTTTGGACAGAATTGTCACTGGTGATGAAAAATGGATTCCCTATGCTAATATTAAAAACAATGGCTAAGTCCTAGAAAAAAACCACTTCCGACCCCAAAACCTGGACTCCATCCGCAGAAAGTGATGCTTTGTATTTGGTGGGGCATCAAAAGGGTAATTCATTTCGAACTCCTCATTCCACAGCGAACTGTGAATGCAGAGATCTATAGCCAGCAACTGGAACGTTTAAATCAAGCCCTTCATGAGAAACGCCCTTTACTCGTCAATCGGAAAAGTGTTATTTTTCTCCACGACAATGCACGCCCACATGTGACACGTTTGATGCAACACAAGATTATGGAGTTGCGTTGGGAAGTTCTCCCCCACCCACCATATTCTCCAGATATGATACCATCAGATTACCATTTTTTCGTTTTGTTGCAACACCATCTTAAAATGTGGAAGGTGTTAAAGAAAACATCGACATGTTTTTTGCTTCAAAGCCAGGTGATAACCTTAATCAGGGCATTAACAACCTGCCTGTAAGATGAAAAATTATCATCGATAAGATGGAGACTATTTCATTTGATAAATGTTTTGTTTTGACATATGAGTTATTTGGGTTTTTCATCTAAAAAAAAGCGACATTAATCTCTTGACGACCTAATATTATGTAGCAGCATTATGATATGTTCTACTCTTTCACAAAACTGCTCATCTTCTGAGTTTATAGAATACATATATATATATAGAAAAATAATTCATATGATACCCCTGAAGCCCCCAGTGGCACAGCGGTATGTCTGCGGACTTACAACACTAGAATCCGGGTTTCGATATCAGTGGTGAGCAGAGCACAGAGAGCCTATTGTGTAGCTTTGTGCTTAATTACAAACAAACAAACAAATACCCCTGAAAATTCACAATTGTTTAAAGTAACCAATAGAATTGTCTATGGTGCAGGTAACGTTGTATTCACGATGATCGGTTTGGTTTGTTACGAATTTCGCGCAAAACTACACAAGGAC